GATTTTTAGTTTTCATTAACAATAATAACACTGCCTCAGCACAAAGATTCCAGTTACAAGTTCTACAAAATGACTTTTTTTATGGGTTGAATATGAGAGGCCCAAACAAACTTCTTTTTTTTTTTTAACAGGAATGTTGCAGTGTAGTCACATGTTTTCTACCTTAGAAAAAAAGATGAGTCATTAATGACTAATTTGAATGATCACATATTCACTGTATACTTTGCTTCCTCCCTTTTGCCATATATGTGTATAATCTTTAAGGATGAGTGTTGTGGTTGCACAAGTTGGTTGTGGTAAATTTTTTAGGAAGTACTTTGTTGTGTTTTATCTGTTAAATTATATTTTGATGAAATAGCAGTCAGTACATGTGTTTATTAGATTAATTCACATACTTTGAAAGAAGTGTGCTCTTTTGGTCATATGAATCTCATATCTTTAATATTTACAATTCACAGTTTTTAATGACCTATTACAGATTGCATATGTTTCTTTAGAGTGTAAATTGTGACTTTCTAATGTCACACACTGAAGTAAATAGTTCAGTTCTTGGGATTTCATGACATGTTTTTATTGTTTCTGTCTGATCTTCAGGTCATGAGCTCCACGAATGGAGAGCTGAACACAGACGACCCAACCGCAGGACACTCCAACGCTCCCATCACTGCACCCGCTGAAGTAGAGGTGGCAGATGACACAAAGTACGTTTATTATCACCAGAAGTCCCCCAATGGTGTTCCAAAAATAGCAAATCAGTTTTCATTCTGTTAAAAAAATTAATATTCTGAGTGTAAAAGTGTTTGTATACAAATTACATAAAATAATGCAGCATATTAATTTCTGACACTTTTTCACTCATTATATTATTAGTTTGATATTATCATTGTATGTGGGTCGTGATTAATCATAACAGACCAATTAATCACTGTAAAATCATCTTTGCCATCTTTATTACCATTGGTTGTCACTGCTCGTTTGCATAAATGTTTCAATGCTGGATATGCCAACTTTGCATCGTTATAGCTCTTAAATTCTAATTGAAAATAAATTATTTATGAAATGCTAATTTTGTCTCTGCAAATTGCTATATGAATGTCCCTTTACTGCTTTAATGTCCCTCATTATGCCTCATTATTTCCATTTTTTTTGTCTGTAGTAAATTTTGCTCTGATTTTCTTTTAGGTGCTGTTGTTTTTTTAAGAGAAGAAAGAGGAAAGCTCTTCAGAGGCACAAGTGAAGCGCGCTCTTTGAAAAGAACTTGAAACATTCTGGTCACTGTTAAGTTTGAAATGCAAGCAAATACACCGATCTCTCTCTCGCTGTCTTTCTCTCTTTCTCTCTATCTCTCTCTGTCCCCATCACACTTTCTTTCATAGATGCTTCACCACTTAATGGAGTGCAAAGGAATGATGTTGACTGTCCAACAGACTCTGGTTTTTTCCCCAAAAAAAAAAAAAAGAGAATAATGAAGATACATAATCGCACATAAACACAAAAAGATGAAAAGATGATGATATGAAA